CCTCTCGCCACGCAGGGAGGACAAAGGGCCTGGCATGGAGAGGGATAATTATCACCGGCGACAGGGAGGAGAATTCTGCTCCTCGGTGACAGTTTGAGGAGAGTCTTTGTTGTTATTCTGCAGGGGTCCGGCCGCGTCCTGGTTGTCTGTAGAGGGAGCTGGTGACCCGCTGCCACCTGGTGACTCCTCAGATTGGTGTGTGAGCCATCTTAGGGAGCACTTGACACTTGGTGATGGGTTGGTCTTAATATGAGTCAACCTTCTCTCTGCTAGCCCAGACCACGTGCCTTTCCCTTCTGATTACAAGAGGAATTATTTTCTGCTCTTTTAGGTGATGGATCGGGGTATCTATTGCTGGCTTGCTTGGAAGCGTGTCAGTCAATTGCCCCTTTTTCCTCGTGTGCCCTTTTCTAACGCCTGCCTTTCAAAGGCTCAGGAACGCCACAAAGAGATTTTGTGGCCTTTATGGTGGCTGATGTGCTTGCTCTGAGTGGTCTGTAGTGTGCTGTAGTCTTAACACTTCTTGTCAAGGTTGGTCCATGGAGTATAAATGTCCTGCTTGGAGATTTCAGGCTGTGATTTACTGCTCCTAGCCCAGAGTTAGTCTAACACTTGCTCTCAACCAGCAAGTTTTGATGAAAAAAGTGCTGTTCTGCCAACATACAATTTTATGCCCTCACATAGCGGGTGCACATAAACCAGCAATTGTCCAGATGGGTCTGGAGGAGTAATACCTCTGCAGGGCAGAAGCCCACACGCCCTGGAGCTATTCATACAGACAGAGTCAGTGGAGGGACCGTTGCACTTGTTGGGTATGACATGAGGGTTCTAACAAAAGCCCTATGACACGTTGGGCTGGAAAATAAAAACAACGTTGGAGCACTGATTTGACTAGGAAAATATTTGATGTAGGCTTCGATTGCGACTGTTCTGATGATAACTTGAGCTCCAGCAGCCAGTTCCAGGTTGGCTGCAGAGCTCCCCTTCCCCCCTGCAAAGCACCCTTCCCTCTCCTGCTGCCCTGCAGGGGCAGGAGTGGCCGGCCGAAAAGGCGAACCCAACAC